ATATGTGAACTAGTAATGATAAAAATAAAAACACATCAACTGAATAAGAGACAGAGACACGATTTACAAGCAGTAGGTTATAATGACAAAGAAAATCCAAGAACAAAGTTCAAGGCAACTCAATAGACCTGAATCATTGTAGTCGCGGAGCACTCAACACAAGTCTCAATCTCCCTAAATTGTTGCATGATCGATCCCATTACCTCCATCAAGCTCATGGAAAGATATATACATATATTTTCTTGGAAAAGGTTAATATTATAAAAGAAAAAGAAAACTATATGGTATACGAGGGGCATACCCCAAGAGAAGGTCTAAAGACGATCAAAATAAATGTGACCATCTTTTTGGACATACAAGTAAAAAAGATGGGCACAGTTGCCCAAAAGGAGCACGTAGGCTGCACCAAAGATGTGACCATCATTGTAGTCGCAGAGCATTTAACACAAGTCTCAATCTTCCTAAATTGTTACATGATCAGTCCCATTACCTCTTTCAAGCTCATGGAAAGAATTTTTTTTTTTTTGGGAAAAGATTAATATTATTAAAAAAAAAAAAAAAAACTATACAATATATGAGGGGCATAGGTCTAAAGATGATTAAATTGGATGTGACCATCTTTTTTGACATACAAGTAAAAAAGATAGGCACAATCACTCAAAAGGAGCACGCAGGTTGCACAAAAGAGAAGAGAGATGGGTACAAGTAGACATGGCAAAATAAGTCTAGACTTGCAGGTGGACTCATACAAGTGTAAATAATATAGGGTACTAGTCCATAGAATTAGGTCCCTTTTTTTGGCCCATACTCGACTTGACCCGTTTTGAAAACGAGCGACGCGGGTACACCTACGAGTACCTGTTTGTAATTTTTTTTTTTTTTTTAAAAACCAAATCTAAAAACTTGAAATCCCTAACTCACTCACATACAAACACAAGTCCACGTCTCCACCATCCTAGCTTCTCCAGTCTCTAGAGCCATGTCTCCGATGATCGCCGCTTGCTTTGGTAACATACACACACAAACTCAACAGCAAAGACTCAACAGCAAACTCAACACCATACACTAATACACACAGCAAAGACTTCTCTCAATCTCAGAAGCAATTCACCAAAGCCATCAATGAAGGCATCAAAATTGAGAAAGAAAACCAAAGGTCATCAAAGGATTGAAATCAAGAAACTTGAGAATAAAAACAGTCTTGAAGTCACCTTTGCCAAGCGAAAGAACAAGATTTTCAACAAAGCTAAAGTGAGCTTTCTTTATTATGTGGTGCTCAAATTTCCATTATCATGATGTCTACACATAATAAACATTTCAATTATGGTCAACCTAGTATTGAAGATCTTCTTGATCATTTTTTCTCCAGAAACGATGACCCTTTGGAATTTTCGACCAACAACGAAGCGTTTGACAAGATTAGGCATGAGATTAAAAGGCTACAAGATCAGTTTGAAGAGGAAGTAAAGATTGCCAAGGAGATTAAACATCGAAACAAAATGAATGACCATGACTGGTGGGAACAGCAACGTGTTGATGATATGGGGTTAGATGAAGTTGAGCGATTTGTCAAGTATTTGGAAAAACTAAGAAGAAAAGTGGTAGCAAGGGTCAATAAAGAGGAACCAAAGGCTAATAATAATGATCTTGCAATTGTTGCTAAGAGTGATGGTAATCATCATGAGGCAAGGGTTGTTGACCCATTAACTGATCACAAATTTGTCAATGATATTGCACCTCTTGATTTTTTCTTTGATGATGGCAACTTCTTTGACAATATGGATATAAGTGGGTTGATTTAATCATATGTTTTAAGTGTTGAGTTTTAGAGTTGTTTTATGTTATTTTATGCCATAAATTTTAATTGAATATTTTTGCTTCTTAGATGAATAAAACAATTTTATTCAATTAGCACAAGTGTGTTACCAGCATGCAAATCTATGGCCTACTCAAGAAGTTATAATTTAAGCTTAACAAAGAGACTTTTGTGGTGAATTGAATTGAATTTGGAGTAGTTTATTGTGGGGGTATAATTGTAAAAAATGAAAACTACAGGAATTTTAGGGGTGTAACCGTCATAATTGAAAACCACTATGAACAGTGCGCAAACCCGCAGGTCAACCTGTACCTGTATAGGGTAGGGTGCGGGTCTAATATTTTGGACCCGTTTAGATCGACTCATTTTGGGCTCATACCCGACCCACCCGCCCGTTTTGCCAGGTCTAGGTATAAGCACCCTAACTGAGCAAACATGCTCAAACAAAACAAAGAAAGAGATAGGCACAGACGCTTAACTAGAGCATACAACTAGATTTTCATGGCAAGATGCTCACCATGCAAACCTAACTTGCACCCAACAAAAACAATAGGGACATTAACCTCTCCTTTAGTATAATATTACACACAAGCAGTCAACTCAACAAAAGCGTAAAACATACAAATCTCTAAACTTCGAAGCTAAGGGAGCCAATAAGAAGTCAAATGAGAAGGAGACATGAACTAGTACCATCAAGGAAAATTTGATTCATCTTAACGCATGAATAGGGTTTCAATACAAAAAGTGGCAAGATTGAGAAACTGACAAAACTAAAAATCACGTTACATTAACTAACGGATTACGCTATCTTTCTGTCAAACAGTATAATTAACTCTAAAGTACACTTTCCACTAAAAGAGTACCAAGTCAAGTCATAAACTTATCCTACAGATACACAACCTAGTCTTCTTGATTCTACGTAGAGTTCTGAGTTGTATTCTTTATATTCTTTCAGGTTTTGATAGTAATGATGTCGAGCTTAGTTGAGATTTCCATATTTTTTTTAAAGAGAATTTATCCTTTATGAGTCTAATAGATTCTCGTTTCATCATTTATACTGTTGAAAAAGATGCTAAAAATTATCGAAAGTCTACAACTATATGTGAACTAGTAATGATAAAATAAAAACACCTCAACTAAATAAGAGAAAGTGACACGACTTATATGCATTAGGTTATAATGACAAACAAAATCCAAGAACCAAAGTTTAAGGCAACTTAATAGACTTGAATCATTGTAGTCGCAGAGCATTCAACACAAATCTCAATCTCCATAAACAGTTGCATGATCAATCCCATTACCTCCTCCAAGCTCATGGCAATTTTATTTTTATTTTTTATGAATAGGTTAATATTATAAAAGAAAAAGAAAATTGTATGGTATACAAGGGGCATATCCCAAGAGAAGGTCTAAAGACAACCAAAACGGATGTGACCATCTTTTTGGACATACAAGTTAAAAAGATGAGCATAGTTGCCCAAAAGGAGCACGGAAGCTGTACAAAAGAGAAGAGATGAGTACAAGCACCCTAACTAAGCACACAGGCTCAAACCAAACAAAGAAAGAGTAGATAGAGACGCTCAACCAAAGCACGCAACAAGATTCCTATGGCAAGATGCTCACCTCGCAAATCTAACTTGTAGCCAGTAAAAAAAGTAGGCACCTTAACCTCTCCATTCAGTTATAGATATACACAAAAAAAAAAACACAAAGTCATTTTAGTGAGATTTGAGAAATAAGTAGTCAATTCAACACAAAGCTGGTAAAATACTAAAATCCTGAAACTCAAGGTAGGGGAGGCCAATAAGGATTTGTTTTAAGGGAAAAAAGTTCAAATGAGAAAGGACCATGAATTAGTACCAATCAAGGAAAATTTCATTCATCTTAACATGTGAAAGGGTTTCAATATCAAAAAGTGGCAAGCATTGAGAAATTGTCATAACTACAATCCCAGTTAATTAACTAAGGATTAGTTTATTCCTTCTATCAAATAGTAATATAACTTAAAAACACTTCCACTAAAGAGAACCAAGTCAAGTTATAAACTTATCCTATAGATACAGACCATTATTGATTCTACTAGAGCTCTGAGTTGTATTCCTATATTCTCTAGATTCTGATAGTAGGGAGTCAAGCTTAGTGAGATTTCATTATTTTTTTAAAGAAATTATCCTTTACGAGTCTAATAGGTTTCATTTCATCGTTATATTGTTGAAACAGACGCTAAAAATTAGAAGTCTACAACATCATGTGAATAGTATAATAAAAATAAAACACCTCACTAAATAGTTACAGAGACATGGTTACAGCTTGGTTATAATGACAAAAAAATACAAGAACCAAGTTCAGACAACTCATAGACCTGAATCATTGTAATCGAGGAGCATTCGAAACAAGTCTTAATCTCCCTAAACTTTTGCATTATGTCCCATGACTTCCGTCTAGGTCAGGCAAGATTCTCATCGCAAATCAACTTGCACCCAGTAACAAATAATAGGCAACCTTAACTTTCATTCAGTATAATATTATGCAAATAAAGTACAAGTGTCATTTTAGAGAGATTTAGAAGAAGGGTCAACTCAACAAAAGCGTAAACATACAAACCTCTAAACTCAGAAGATGGGGGGAAGAATAAAAAATCAAATGAGAAGAGAACATAAGCTGATTACAGCATATCGTTAAACCACATCATCAAGCCTTCTTCAATTCTTATTAATTTTCTTCATTTCCCAAGAAAATTTGAACATCATAAATGCACAAAAATCGAGCATACTTTATGCGGCGCACTGAGAGCAAGCATATTTGTGGCTAAGTGGGGAATCTTAGGCGTGAAATTTCAAGGAGTGTCATGACTCAAATGGGGACACATCAAGGCACTGCACGCACCGGTATGTATGGATGAATATTATTAGCCCACAAAGGGGGATGATATGGGACAACAAGACTTGTCTAGTGTGCCAACAAGACAAGATATGCCAACAAAAGTCAGGATGTTTGTTGGAGCCACTCCCATATGGAAAGACGTGGGAAAGGCTTTCAATGGATTAGTACTTGCCTTCCAAATCTAAATGATATAGCACTATCATTGTCGTCATAAATCGTTTCACCAAATATGCCACTTTCATTTCCACATCATCGTCCTTTACAATGGAGGAAACTACACGTCTCTTTTTCAAGAATGTGGTTAAGTATTGGGGGCTTCCAAAGACCATTGTGAGCAATAGAGATGTGTGCTTCATAAGGAAGTTTTGGTTGAAACTCTTTAAACATTTGGGTTCGGAGCTTCCATAATCCACAAACTTTCACCCAAAGACGAATGGGAAACCAAGAGAGTGAATGCTTTATTGGAGATGTACTTAAGACACTTTGTGAGTGCCAACCAAAAGGATTGGGCAAAGTTGCTAGACATAGCCTAATTTTCGTACAACTGGCAGTGTTCAGAGTCTACGGGTCAAAGTCCTTTCGAGTTAGCAACTGGGCAACAACCTTTGACTTCTAACACCTTGACGGCTTTTATGGGGAGTTGCCCATCAGCCTTTAAATTCGCTAAGGATTGGCAAAACCAATGGGAGCTAGCACGCATATACTTAAACAAGGCAGCCAAGAAGATGAAGAAATGGGCAAAGTCAAAGATGCGACACGTGGAGTTCCAAACGAGAGATCTTGTCATGGTCAATCTGCTTCTCATACAACATAAGTCTTTATGCTCGTTGCACAAGGGTCTCCTAAGGAAGTATGAAGGGCCATTTCTTGGCCTTAAGAGAATAGGCAAGATGTCTTATCGCTTAGAGCTTCCACCAAAGATGAAGATTCATCTGGTCTTCCATGTGAACCACTTAAAGTCATACCATTCGGATGCAGAAGACCCTACTCGAGGGGAGTCGAGTAGAGCACCATCAATCACTTCTACTTCATTTCATAAAGAGGTAGAATCCATACTGGTAGACCGAGAAGTAAAGAATCATGAGCCAAAATACCAGGAGTACTTCATCAAATGGAAAGTCTTGCCCGAAAATGAATCTAGCTGGGAATCCGAGGACTCGTTGTGGCAATTTAGAGACCACATCAACCGCTATGTGGAGAAAGCAACAAGAATGTCACCAAATTAAGTAGGGGAAGATATCACAAGCAAATTGAAAGGCAAGACCCGATTGGCCCAAAAAGCTCAAATTTCTTCTAGATATGCAACTTTAATTGCAACTTGAACGACAAGATACATTGCAACTTGCATGCCAACTAGGGAGGACTAGCCTATAAATAAGGACATTCACCCTCACTTGTAAATTATTCACCACATTCACCAAGTCACAACATATCTTGTAAAGATACTCAATATACTTTTAAGCTTTTTCTTTACACCTTCTCTACATTTCTCCCTTACTCTTTATTATTTAAGGCTTTAGCTTGAGTTAGGCTGAACTAGTATTCATCCATCACATAGATTTGAGTTACTGGTGCCGCATGGGTTTTCAATATAACTTAGCCTGTGACACCAAGTAGTCTCAAGGCACCCTTTTTTGATGAAAATTAAAGAGCATGGAGAAAGAGGAACCCTTTCAGTGTAACTCCAAGGTCATTGACTCCCTCTAGTTGCTTCTCTTGTAACACCCTTTTCACCGCCATTATTTCAGTAGGTTGCAATGGAGCATTGAAGCATTTAACTTGGCATCATCCATGTATTGGTCACAAAGAATAAATATCCTTTTCAATGCCCTGACAAATCGTTGTTTTAAACCTCGTGAATCATGATCAAACAATGGACCTATTGGACGAAGTACTACCTTCTGAGCGTGATAAAAAAAACATCATGGACCTACCATCAAAGAAAATTTGATTCATCTTAACGCGTGAATAGGATCTTAATACAATAAGTGACAAGATTAAGAAACTGATGAAACTAATAATCCCATTACATTAACTAACCAATTACGTTATCATTCTGTCAAACAATATAATTCACTCTAAAGTAAACTTTTCACTAAAAGTTTTAGTGTAAACAAGGAACTTTACCCTATTTGTATTTTTAAGAAATATCAATAGTTCAACAGAAATCATTTATACACGGAATTTTTATACACATTTCAATTTAGATTGAAATTACTTAATTTAGTAATTAATATTAAACCAATGTTATTATACAAATTTGTTAACTAATTGAACGCACCTATCTCCATATGATCTCAATATATTTGAAGACAAACAAACAAACCCACCCTAAAACCTGAAACCCCTTTACTCTGCAGGCTTTTACTTGTCAACAAAAATGGAGGAAACCAATACAACAATTCACATTTCTAAGAAGAAATTAAACATCTAAAATTGGTTATGGTAATCAGTAAGATAATGAGTCATTTATGAGATCTTCATTTTCCAAGAAAAATCGAAATCGAAATATTGCACAAAAATTGTGACCAAAGATCACTGAAGTTTCAAGTTTGTATTTGTCTAGTAATTTTAGATGTGTATAAGGTTTGCATTAAATATCTTACGTAGATCGAGATATTATTATTATTATTATCACTTTTTTCATATCAGTGAACAAATTAATTCCTTAAATTTTTTAAAATAAAAGAGTTTATAGAAGGCATTTGTCTTTACAATAATATTACTTTTCTAAAATTTATTTCAAATTTTATCTTTCAAGTGATATGTCTTTATATAAGATCTTAATATATAAAATGATGATGTATTAAATGATATAGTAATGTTCGATGGTGCATCATTGAGATGAATAGTATTACTATTATGATCTTCATTTGCTTAATTCTATATTTATCAAAATAATCGTTTAAAAATAAGAATTTTGTAAGATACATATATATATATATATATATATATATAACTCAGTAACTATTTCATTGATTAGATTCGTTACATGTGGAGCTTCAGAAAAGAAGGCCCAGGACTCGAGGCTCAAAGCCAATCCACTATCGCAAATAAGCCCCTCGAGACCCAAAGCACTAAGCCGATTCTTACTCCCTTTACACACACGAAACACAAACCCAAGAAATTTTTTTCTCTTGATTTTCGATTCCGAAGAAGATGAAGAGCCTTGAATTTCAGTTAGCATACTGAATTTTGGAGGATATACTAATTAATTGCCTCTAATTCTTCTGTCGAACTTGCAATGACACCCTTTGCACATACAAATGGCACTAATAATTAGTAATTAAGATACAAATATAAGAGAATCAACTAAATAAGTTTTTTATTTTTTTTATTTTATATATACATTTCCTTATTATATCCTATTATACCTAAATAAAAGTAACATTTTAATCTCCAAAAAAAAAAAAAAAAAAAAAGATTCCCTTAAAAGAAATGGTCAACCTGTATATTGTATAATTAATAATTACATGTATTATCTAGTTAAAGCTACTACTGAGGAGTGAGGAAGTCTAGATTCATTATATTTCAACACCTAGTGCTCCACAGATATGTACAAATTCAAGATCAGCTCAAAAGTAAACATTTTAAATATATATCTGAATGACTATTATATATAGTTTATACGAATCTTTCGATTAAGAGAAAGAAAAATCATGTTATTTGTCTTTAATCCCACATGCATTGTACAGGTCTATTTCTGATCATCATAAGAGGCGGTGATGTGACCTATTATACAAGATATTTAATCATGTAGCACCAAGTTAGTGACATTTTTGTTCAATAATATATAAAATTTTGCTGCGTGGTCTTGACCATATAGAGATTTTCCAATAATAAAAAAAGGACAAGTGCACTTTAATCAAGATCCCCAGGTCCTAATCTGTACAGATGTTCGTGCGATTATTGGAAACAGAAATATCTTTGTTTATGTTCGATTATCTCAGTCAGTACTTTGTATATTGAAATTTCATTCAATTCACTTATTTATTTTCGTGATGTTCGTGTGATTCAATGATTTAAGTCAGTTTTTTTGTGCAAACGTACGTATTTTGCCTGTAATTGATCCATTGGTTAGCCAGTAGCTGTCTATTACCGATGACTTTGCTCCTGAACATTTTTCACATTTATATATAGAGTACTCTTATCTTGGTATTCGCATTCACAGTACTACGATTTTGTCCTGGCTAGAAGACTAAATATAGAACAAAAAACTCAATAGGTACTCAATCACCTATTGCGGAAAGTGACTTCATTGCACAGCGAAGAAGTGATATAAGCATATAGAAAGCAAAACACCAGCCGCCTTGTGGCTAAAACAAAAGTGATGAGTTTCCAGTCCTATCTATATAGCGCACATAGATTGACCAGATTATTATAGAGTTAACGACTTTTTTTTTTTCCTAAATAATGGTTTGATAGCATTTCCATACCAACTAACTTTTAAGATATCACTTTATTATTCAAATTTATATTCTGATAACAAACAAAAGTAAATTTGATCCAGACTATTAGAGCTTTTGTAGAGAAGAAGTCGATGAGTCTTTTGATAGTGGAATATTAGATTTTAGTAGTTGGGATTGATCAGAATTTGATTTGAGAGGGGTGACTATAAAAACCCTAATCGCTCAATTACCCACGATTAACAGGGTCGATGGAAACAGAGTTTGAGGAGTTTTAGTGAGTGATAGTCAGGAAAAAAAATGGTGATGATATAGGGTCACAACGATGCCAGAATTAGAAACGGAATATAAATTTAGATTCGTAGAGTGGTAATTTTAAAATTTAATAAGTTGGAAAATGTCATTAAGCCATTAGTTGGGTGGGAAAAAATCTTTTACTCAATTATTATAATAATATTTCTGATGATCAACAAATATAAATCATGGAAAAATTGTACTTGCATGTCATGAAATGAAATGGGGGTTTAAGACCCTTATCCAAATGATGTGCCATTGCCATAGAGTGGAGAAGAAAAAGACAACTCTAATTGTCCTTTACGATCAAACCAGAAAACATTACTGAGACATGGATGGCTAGTTTTTACATATTCCCATTGGGGATTGTCGGATTTAACCCAATAGGACATCAAGTCCTAAGACAAAAATGTGAAGATCAATCAGAAAATTGTTTGAAACACATGCGTATATATATATGCCAAATTGAAAGTGGCCTAATTTGTTGCCTGTTGGAATAGAAATGGTGGCGCTAAAGAAGGACGTGGCCAACTTTCAATCCATAAAATGGAGGTGGTGAAACATTGCTTAGCTTGTTGCTTCCAATCATGCACACCCTTGTCAATGGATCTAATTAATAATGCACATGTAGCCAGCTTGTCACTTGCTGATTATATGTAGAGAGATGAGATCGATGGAGAGCATGGCTGCAATATCATCAGTCAACAAATGGATGAAAATTAATGGTAAATTCATGAATTGTTGTGTCGACTTTTCTATACTTTAGCTCTTTGTTTCGGAGCCATTGAATTTGAACGCGGTAGTGAGAATTCAGAGAGTATGGTCGTAGTTGCATTCTTGTCTATACTCAATGGACTGGAAAATTCATAACTCACGCCCCCACATTCCACTGCTCATGACAACTGAAAGTGAAATTGCTTTGGAGGTTTCAGGGAAACACCCTTCTCTCCTGTCATAATCATCCCCCTCACAATAAATGTATATAACTGTTTTCACTTTGTAATTATGTATCAACAACTTTATTCAACTTCCCATATGAATTGGTAAAGAAGAATCCTCGTTTTGTATGGAGTATTTATCACTATTTTCTTCAAATAAGATATGTTAGATCTCTAATAGTGTAATGAATTATGAGGGCATGCATCAGCAATCACTGGGGATGATTGTTGGAGACGAAGACATACTTTGAAAATTATGCTGATTAAAATAAAGGTATATAGTCCATCCAACAAGAAGCAGAATATTATTAATTAATTATTGTGGACTGGTATTAATTAATTATTGTTGATTTCTTAAATGTTCTACCTGTTAGAGCATGATGATTTAGGGGGTGTTTGTTTGAGTTTATGAAAATTAGCTTATAAATAATAATTGCTTATAAGCTAAAATTAACTTATAAGCATTTGAAATTTTAAACAATTACCGGCATGTTTGGCTTAGTATTTTTATCCATATTCTGGATCCTATTTTCTAAATAATGTTTGGCACATTATTCCAGAAACATTACCTTATTTTTTTAATTACTT